GTTATTTTTCTTTTTCTTTTTCCCCTTCACAAAGTTCCTGAGAATGGTTTTAGTCGCATCAAGAAAGAAAAAAGGGAGAGAAAAAAACAGGAGAGGGTGATGCATAGAAAGAAATGGAAACTCCAAATTCTACGCCTCAGAGGGAGGACGTATTGAATTCCATTACAAACCCCTTCAAAATGGAAAGAAAGAAAGAAAGGGAATTCCCTATCTTTCTCATTCTCTCACATGCAGGTCAAGAACAGGCAGTAAAGACGGGGTTAGAGTTTCCTTATATGAATCCCTCTCTCTCTCGCTCTCTCTCTCTCTCTACAATACAAATACAAAATGCCTACCTTTCTACGCTTAGGCTCCGTGGCCCATTATCCTCCCAAATTGCCTCCCTTTCAAACTTTATTTCCCTCCGGCGGCTCTCTCTCTCTACTGTAACACTTTTCCTTGTAAAAGGGGGTTTTCTTGTTCTAGAAATGGGCCCATGGAAGCCCATCTTCTCTTCCCATCCATTTCAGACGGATAATTTGATAATTTTGTTAGATGAATACAAATTTTTACCATGGTACGATATTGTCTACTTTGAACATAAGCTCTAATGACTCTACTCTGAACTTCCTCAAAAGGCCTCATTACCAATCAGATAGCATTCTTTAATTATAATCCCATAATCATTCTTTAAATTAGCCGACGTGGGATTTTCATCCAACACCTTTCCTCGAACAAAATACGCCTCCCTTTAATCGAGGTTCGACTCATTTTCTTTTGTAGTCTTAGTCATTTTTTACTAAGCCTTCAAGGCTCACAATACTTTCGTTCGACATTTGATAACTCTATTGACATGACTAAGTTTAGGGCATGACTCTGATACTATATTAGATGAATCTGACCCTCCATAATGATATGATATTGTCTACTTTGAGTATAAGCTCTCATGACTCTACTTTGCGCTTCTCCAATTGATTACTTGTTCCTAAAATTTAAAAATGTGTTAAAATTTCTCCGATTTTTAGTATTATTGTGTCTAATAAGTTTTTGAATAAAAATAGAGTTAAATTAATTTATTTTTTAGGTAACCGTTTGAATTTGTTATTTGATATAATCTTAATTTTTTTCTTTTGTCTTTTAGAAGATCAGTTAATATAAAAGAAAAATTGAAAGGTTAGCACATGTAAAATTGAAAAATCTATTTGTTGGAGGGCCAATTATATAGTTTTAAATTTAGAGGGACTAAATAGATATTATTATGATATTCTAGAGAGAGAGAGAGAGATTTTGAAACGATGACGTTTTTGTGTCCTTCCAAAAAGTGGGACTCTTTGTAATTTTACGTTACATGACACAGCTGTCCAGCAAAGAGGAGACCGAATTCGCTTTTACCTCCCTAGTTTCCTAACAGCTAACGACTTTACCTGTCGACCATCCTTTGGAATATAGTCATTATTATTATCATCTAATTTCGGGAAAGAATGTTAGAAAAAATTCTCGAAAAGCTTTCAAAGATTCATTTAGTTTTTTTCTCTTATAGATGATGTGAATTGAATATCGCTTAGAATCATATTGAAAAGTTATACAAACATACCTGATACGTGTAAAACTAAAAATTAGTTGAATTGAGTTTAAATAAATAATTTTTTAAACTGTTGATTTAATTCTAAAATTATTTTTTTTTTCACTATTTTTTTCTTTTAACTACTCTTGCCAATAGAATTTAAAATTTTTGAAAATTCATATTAAAATATCAACTTTTTAATAACATATTAATTAAATAAATAACATATTTGAATTAATTTGTGTTGAGTTAACTTTGAACAAAATTATTTGAATTGAAAATAAATTTATATCTCAATTAATTAAATTTAATCTAAACTTTTCAAACTATAATAATTTATAAACGGATTAATTAATTGACAGAGGTCCTGAAGAGAAAATTTACATGGGAAGTGGGTAGGTGTCTAAGATGGGCCATTAGGAAATTGACACGTGGCCGAATGTCCTAGTCAGTAGCGCCGGACAGTGACCGACGTTCTGCATGGTTCGGAGAACCTTTCCCTTCTTCACCGTGTTATGTGGCACATGCAACTGCCTATTAATCGTGCTACTCACGTGGCTATTTCTAGCTTGCACGTGCTTCGCCCCATCATTTTAATTCTAATTTTCGTTAATTTTAATTAGTACCGATAAACATGAATTGGCCTATGTCCTATTCTAATTATCACTCAATATCCGCTGTACTCCTAGAGATGCCTTATATATATATATCTATATATATATGTTACATTACCCATATTATTATTATTATTTTAATCTAAAAATTGTCGTATCCATTTCCTTATTTATTTAATATTTTTAATATAAGAGATTCGAGTGTCTGATTTTGAAACAAATTTACCATTTTTAAAAAAATTTAAATTTAAAAATTATATAGATAAATATTTTCACCTAAATAAATAAATATTATAAGCCAAAAAAAAAAAATTAAAATTGACTTATGTATATTTTAAAATTTTACCAATCAAATTATTAGATATTAATGTTTAGTTTTGGAGTTTTATTTTTTAATAATTTATGCTTAGTTTTACATTTTTAAATGTATTATAATATTGTTAAAATAAAATTTATAAAATTAATTGAAAGAAAAAAATTACAATTCAAACCAACTTTAGAGCTAAACGAGTGGAATTATGCTACCATCAACGATTAAATGTAGTTGTAAATGTAAATTAAAATTAAATCTATAATTTTATTCCAGATGGTTAAAATGATTAAATTCCAATAATTATAATAAAATATTTTAAAATAAGGTAAATAAAAAGGGATGGAAATTATTTGTATTAAGGAACAATTAAAATTTAATGATTACTGATCGAATAATCAAGGGAAAAAAAGGCCCCTCATGTTTTAGAGAGAATGCCCCAAAAATGGAAGGAAAATGATTGCGACAAATGGTGGTCATAATTTAACCGAAGAACGATGATCCAGTAAAAGCCTCAAAGCGAAAGATTTCGACGGGCAAATTCACTGGGAATCATCATTTCGGAGCTCGGGTTAATTGAGTTTGTCGAGACGGATAGTGGTTTCTCAAGGGAAGAAGAATTCGACAGGTAAATTTCTCGAATCCCATTGTGAAACTTTTGAGTTAGATTGTTATTGGAGTGATTGAAACTTAGAAATGTTGTTTCATAGTTATGATTGCTATGATTATACACAAAAAGCAAAACCCAATGTGCTTAATAACTCATTTCATGTCATAGGATTCTTAATTCCAGTTACCCAAGTAATCAAACCCTTTCGTTTTTCCCCATCCTCCAACTTTGATTGGACACTGTTACTGTATTGTTGGCATTTGAATAGGCTGTATGGCAAAGGGAAAGGATGCCCGTTAAAGGATATGAATTTTGGAGAGGCAAAGGAATGCCCGCCAAGTGTTTGATAAAAGTCCCCAATGAATATTTTAGTGTAGGAAATGGGTGTCTGTTGCCAATGCGTTTAGGGTGCCTGGGTTGGAGTAGTGTATGAGACATGTGCATATAAACTAACACATTCAAAACTCAAGAAGTCAATACTTACTTTCTTTCTGCTTTTACGAAATGATTAGATTTGGTGGGTGGCTCGGGAAAATATAAAAGAAAAAGGGGGGAGGGAAAAAGGGGTAATAAAGACTGGATATTTTTTAGACAGAAAACTAGGCGAAGGAGACCACCGAACCGAACAGACAGATGCAAAAGCAATCAATAGATTAGTGGACACAGAAAGTCAATAACACTTTCTTTTTTCCCCTGGAATAAAATCATGGCCATTGCAATCATATATTTGAATGCTTAGTTATTTGCCAAAGGGGAAAGCGAAATGTTCTTTCCCCTCCATTTCTTTCAATTTCCTATCCAATTTGATACTTCAAAAAGTTCTAAAAGCTTCAATTATTCCATCAAGCTTATTGGTGTAATAATGTCACTGGTCTTATCTCTATTAAGAAGAATGATTGATTGTAGTATGACATGTTATGTGGTAGCTGGCTTACATTTCTTAAACAAAATGAAAACGGGAGACACGTTTTAAAACTTTGGGGGAAATCTCAAAATGGAAAGCTTAAAGTGGACAATATCTACTAGCGGTGAGTTTGAGCTGTTATAAATGGTATCAGAGCACCTGCATGATCCAACCGATGTGGGATCTCACAATCTACCCCCTTGAGTCCAGCGTCCTCGCTGGCGTATCACTCAGTGTCTGGCTCTAATACCATTTGTAACAACCAAAACCTACCGCTAGCAGATATTGTCCTCCTTGGGCTTTCCCTTTCAGGCTTCCACTCAAAGTTTAAAATGTGTCTGCCAAGGAGAGGATTCCACACCCTTATAAGGAATGTTTTGTTCACCTCTCCAACCGATGTGGGACCACACACAGAATCATCTACATATTTCGTATCCTTATGCTTAAAATATAAATGATTGTTTAGAACGATTATATTTGGAATCATTTTTTCATCCATATATAAATACGACCAATAAATATTCAAATGCCTTTTCTTAATCCTGTCAACCAAGCAAAACATGTCATTGTCCTTGTAGATTCTTCTTTTTTCAGGATAGATTTAGTAATAAGAACAAAAATTTTAAAACAATTACAAAAATGTGTGGGACATGATTGAACTACACAAAACATCAAGGACTAAATTTCGAACAGGCTTATAACTCAAGGATGAAAAATATATTAAACCCAAGAAAGCTGATATAGATTTGATTATCATCCTAGTTTCATATAATATAACTTTGGTCCATGTATTTTCAGTTTTCGTTTATTTTGGTTTCTATACTTTCAACCTTGTTATTTTAGTCATTACATTTTGATCTCTTCATTTTTATCCCATTTTAAATACTGAACTTTAAAGTACTTTTAGCATATGTAGTATTCATAGATATACAGGCTTTTAAGTGTACTTTAAAACGAGGAAACTATATTATAGTAATCCCTTTTCTTCCAAGTTCAAAAGACAGAGAGTCGGAAAGTCTAACCTTTTGTTTTCTCGTTGGTGGAGTTCTTTGGATAAGTAACATATTGTTTGAAACAATATTTTATAGGTTATCAAAAAAACCCTTAAATTATGAGTTTGGTTTTAATTAAAATTTCTAACTTCAAAAAGTTTCATTTAAGTTTGTTTCAAAACAACCGTTGTAGGCTTTTGATGTTAAATTTGTAGATGAAAGGTTTGTTTCCATTAAACTTTTTCTTTCTTCCTTTCTTCTTTCAGATATAGATAGTTTGCATCCAGAAGACTTAGATTTCAGTTCTGATAAGTCAGTCAACTTTATCATAGAAGAATGCAACCAATACCATAAAGGGTTTCTTAAATGACTTCTTGCATTAAGGTTTAATGAATGTCTACTGCATCTAGATTTCAGTAGAAGCAAGGTAAAATCTCTGATATTTGTAGCAGATTACAATTATCCTTGCATGATTATTGCTTACTAGTCCAGCCCTACTAGACCCATCCGCTATGGACGAACTTGGTACATGGCTAATAGTCTCTGACAAACAACAAATTCTAAAATCAACCTCTAATTTTCACTGTTTAGCAATTTAAACAAAGTGGCTTAACGGCCCAAGCCCACCACTAGCCGATATTGTTCTCTTTAGACTTTACCTTCTAGGCTTTCCTTCAAAGTTTCAAAACACGCCTGCTAGAGAGGTTTCCACACCCTTATAAGGAATGCTTCGTTCTTCTCTCCAACTGACGTGGGATCTCATGCAGAGAGACCTAATTTTAAAGGAAAAAGAAAAGAATTAACATAAGATAAGCTCCAAGACAGGAAAGTGATGAAAACAGAAGGCAGCTGTTGAATCTGTAAAACAAAAAGAAAGAATTATGAACCAGAGGGCAACAACGGAAAATTTGGATATCAAGCAAGAGAGCAATACCAAAGCTCATTTAAATTACCGACTAGCTCCTGATTGATTTCCAAGAATGCAGCAATTTGCAGGAAACCTTCTAAGAGAAAGGAAATCATAAGAACTTCTCTTATCCAATTCAGCCTACAATTTTGAGTTCCAATCGACATTCTTCAACATTTTCTATCAGATTCCTCAACCTTCATAGGAACCAGAGGGTAAGAAACTTACAACAAGCTCTCCCACGAAGAGTAAGCACCACCAGTATATGTGGTGGCTGCAAAATTTCCCACAAGTCTGTTAGATGGCTTCTCTCAGGTTTTTCCTATGGAAACGGCAATTTGGGGGAAAATCACTTCTTGGACAGTGGCAGTAGGAAGTAGGATTGAAATGAACTTGGGTCTTCTCTTGTTTCTTTTGACACTCTTGTGGCCTCAAAGTCAATAAATTGCCAAACATAGAATCTTATTTTCAGCTTAGGAATTAATTCTTTGTGTCTCCACTAAGAGGAAATTATTCCAAGGCGGACCGACAAAATGTATGGCAAGAATCTGCAAAAATAACTCGTTGTATCCAAAGTAGTATTAGAGACGTGCACATTTTTGTTTGTCAGAAGCCCATAAGTGAATTATTTATTCATTCAATATTATTATCTTAATATTCTGAGATGACAATCCTAATCCACAAGCAAATCTCCAAATCTTGATACGTGTTTATTAGACGTTCAATAAGCGGACAAGATTAGTTTTGGTTAAAAGTTATTCCCATCCGCACTTTTGTCTTTCCACAAGGAATGTGGACGAGAATCGTGGACTCTTGTAGATGACTCTTTTATGTATCTTTTTTATTTCAGTCACTTCAAATTTTCTATTTTTTATCAACAAGACTTAGCATATTGATGTTTTAATGCGACCATAATAACTCAATGCCCTGCTGAGTGTTACAAGTGTTCTCTCTTGTTCTTGTGTCGCACTAGCACTTTTCAAGTGGATGAATTCTAGGTCTTTTTGAGTGTCGTGTCAAATTGTTCTGAAATTCTTCTTTAGCCTAACCTTGTTTGTGGCTAATTGGAAGGCGAAGATGTTTTGATTCACTGTTTGGTCAGTGGTGAGCTAGTAATATATTGTGAGATCCCACGTCAGTTGGAGAGGGAAATAAAACATTTTTTACAAGGGTGTAGAAACCTCTCCTTAGTAGACGCGTTTTAAAATCTTGAGGGAAATCCTAGAAAGAAAAACCAAAAGAGGACAATATACATTAATGGTGGGCTTGAGTTGTTACACCTACTGAAGTAGCAAAGTTTGATATCGAAAGGGACTATTTTTCTAAATGTTAAAAATTAACCCACAACATTGATTACTATTTTCAGATACTTTCTTTTGAGAAGGATGTTAGATACTCTGTTGTTATTGTTTCTATTTCGACAAATTGTAGAATAGAATGGTTTTTGGCAGGCATCTATTGAATATGCTCATCATTCACTACTATGCTACCTTTTACTTCATCCCATCTTTCCATTTCCTAATATTTTACCTAACTAAAAAAGTGAGATAGAGATATAGAAATTTGAACTTCTAAACTAAAAAAAAAAACTGTGTAGAAACCTCTCCCTATCAGACACGTTTGATATTGTGAGACTGTCAATACGTAACAAGCAAAAACGGACAATATCTGCTAGCGGTAGACTTGGGTTGCTACACCAACTTAGTGTTGGATCGGTATGGCAACCCTAGAGGGGGGGTGAATAGGGTTTTAACGATAAAAGTGTTTAAACTTGATTAATTTTTCTAATGATAAAACTTTTTACAAATAAGTAGAAGATGATAATTACTAAAGCAAAATAATTCAAGTCAAAACAATAATCAAGTAGAACATGCAATAAACATAATAATAATCTTGAAATTAAATAGGAAAGAGTTAGAGAAAATGACACCGTAGTTTTATAGTGGTTCGGTCAAACTCGACCTACTCCACTCCCCAAGCGCCTCTTGGGAATTTGAATAAAGAACTTTTCCGACTCTTTCCACGGATCAGAGCCAAACCGGTACACCGCTCTTTTTACGAGTTCAAGAGCAAACTCAATCCTTTCAACGACGCAGGATCAAACCGATACAAGTATTTGAGTTTGATAATAACACACCACAACTCTCTCAAAGAGTAGATTTACAATTTGGGATACTGACAACTATTTCCTCACAATATAATAATAATCCCTCTCAAGAATAAGATGAAAAGAAATAAACTTGTAAGCTTGGAGAGAGCAATAAACAATGGAGACTTTGAACAAATGAGGATTGAAGAATGTATGTAAGTTGTATATATTAAAAATGTGGGGAAGATGAGTTTATATAGAGGAGAAAAGTGGCAAAATGTAGGATTGAATATTGACCATTGGATTGTGTTAGGAATAATGGAAGGTGGAGATTAAAAGTAATTAAGTAAGAAAATTTTCTAAATTCATTTATTTCAAAATTTTAATATAATAGTAATATAATATAATAATAATAAAAAGTTATGTGAGTAACGGTAAAATGTAATTCAAAATTTATTATAAATATAATAATATAATAATAATAAAAATGATGTGAGTAACTACCAAAATTTTAAAATATAATAATATAATAATATAATATAGTAATAATAAAATTCGATGTGAGTAACGGTTATATTCAAATTTATATTTGTAAAAATAATTTTATTTAGAAATGTAATAATAAGAAAAACTCCACCATGTGTTACTCTTCCAATATTATAAATGTCATACTTTGATATATTTTGATTTGTCCATCATTTTGATTTTGTTGCCACATCATCACGTCGGGTATGTTGTCTCGACTCTAATTTCTTCGTTTTAGCTCTGATTTGAGTAATTGAAAAGTTGTTGTAATCGTTATTCCCGACCTTATACTGTGGACAGTTCAAAAAACTGAAAATAGTTAATAATTAAAAGTAGGTTTGTTATCATCAAAACATCAATAATTAATTCATTGAAATTAATTAATGTGAGATCAAGGGCCAATAAGCCAACAATATCCCCCTTTTTGATGATGACAAATCATTTAAAGAAAAATTCATAAAAACCAATAATGCAACATCCATGTAATAATATCACTACATACTAATATATTATCATAAATTTCACTCAAGAGCATATTCTCCCTTATATTAATGTCTCAAGAAATTATGAAACACCAAGTAAATGATTCATAAATTATAAAATAACAAATTTAGAACATATTTTTCTTAATTTTCTCCCCCTTTGTAATCATCAAAATGAACAATTGAAAGAGAATGCATTTAATAATGACATAATGGCTCCCCCTAAAAACATGCATTCAAAAATTATAAAATTCAAGATATATCACAACGAATAATACCAAGCTCAAGCCTATTTTTGCAAAAAATTTCTTCATTCAATGGCTTGGTGAAAATATCGGCCAGTTGATTATTAGAGTTTACAAAATCAAGAATAATATGTCCATTTTGCACATGCTCTCTAATAAAATGATGTCTAATGTCAATATGTTTAGTTCTAGAATGATGAATAGGATTTTTAGTTAAATTAATAGCACTTGTATTATCACAAAATATAGGCACACTATGAAACTTTAATCCAAAATCACAAAGAGTTTGTTTCATCCAAAGAATTTGAGCACAGCAACTAGCAACCGCAATATATTCCGCTTCGGTAGTAGATAAGGCAACCGAATTTTGCTTTTTACTAAACCAAGAAACTAAGGAACTACCAAGAAATTGACAAGTTCCACTAGTACTTTTACGATCAAGTAAGCTTCCGGCAAAATCTGCATCAGAATATCCTACCAATTTAAATTCAACATTTCTAGGATACCACAATCCTAGATCAATAGTTCCAAGCAAATATTTAAATATTCTCTTAACGGCATGTAAATGAGATTCCTTAGGACAAGATTGAAATCTAGCACAAAGACATACACTAAACATAATATCGGGTCTACTAGCGGTCAAGTAAAGTAAAGATCCAATCATACCTCGATAAGCTTTAATATCCACACTTTTACCTTTTTCATCCTTGTCAAGCTTAGTGGATGTGCTCATGGGAGTTCTTGCAATCTTACCTCCATTGAACTTGAATCTTTTGAGCAAATCTTTAGTGTATTTCTCTTGATTGATGAAGATACCATTCTTGAGTTGTTTGATTTGAAGTCCAAGAAAGAAACTGAGTTCTCCCATCATACTCATCTCAAACTCACTATGCATACATTTAGAAAATTCTTCACATAAAGAAGGATTAGTAGAACCAAATATGATATCATCCACATATATTTGCACTAATAGCATATCGTTTTCTTTAATCTTAATAAAGAGTGTAGTGTCGAGTTTGCCCATTTTAAAATCATTCCCAATAAGAAAATTACTAAGTCTATCATACCAAGCTCTTGGAGCTTGTTTTAAGCCATAAAGAGCCTTTTTCAACTTATAGACATGATGAGGAAATTCTACATTTTCAAATCCGGGAGGTTGTTCTACATAAACTTCCTCCATAATATAACCATTCAAAAATGCACTTTTCACATCCATTTGATATAATACAAAATTTTTGTAAGAAGCAAAAGCAAGTAACATTCTAATAGCTTCTAGTCTAGCAACGGGTGCAAAAGTTTCTTCATAATCTATGCCTTCCTCTTGACAATAACCTTGAGCTACAAGCCTAGCTTTATTTCTAATGATATTCCCATTTTCATCCATTTTATTTCTAAAAACCCATTTGGTTCCAATAATAGAAGTATTAGATGGCCTATGGACTAATTCCCAAACTTTGTTCCTTTCAAATTGATTTAGCTCTTCTTGCATGGCTAAAATCCAAAACTCATCATTTTCGGCATCCTTAAGACTTTTTGGTTCAATTTGAGAAACAAAAGCAAGATTATTAAATAAATTAATAGAAGAGCGAGTTTTCACACCTTGTTCGAGATCACCAAGAATCAAGTTCTTGGGATGAGACAAGGCATACCTCCATTCTTTTGGCATTGATGAAGAACCTTCTTCCTTTAAGCTCATCTCTTCTTTACTCGTAACAATTTCTTTGCCGTTGTCACTAACGAGTAAATCTCCAAAATTTCTTTCTAAATCATCACTACAAATAGACTCATTAGAAATATTATTGCAAGATTCATCAAATACCACATGCATAGATTCTTCAATAACTAAAGTTCTCTTATTGAAAATTCTATAAGCTTTACTAGTAGATGAATAGCCAAGAAAAATACCAATATCCGTTTTTGAATCAAACTTTCCAAGCTTTTCTTTGTTGTTCAAAATAAAACATTTACAACCAAAAACTTTGAAATACCCAACATTTGGAATTTTGTTATGCCAGAGTTCATAAGGAGTTTTATTTAATGAAGGTCTAATTAAAACTCTATTTAAAATATAACAAGCGGTATTAACGGCTTCCGCCCAAAAATATTTAGGTAAATCATACTCATTTAACATTGATCTAGCAAATTCTTGTAAAGTACGATTTTTCCTTTCAACCACACCGTTTTGTTGAGGAGTCCTTGGAGAGGAGAAGTCATGAGAAAAACCATTATCTTCACAAAATTTTTCAAAGGCAACACTGTTAAATTCTCCCCCATGGTCACTCCTAATTTTAGTAATTAAAAACCCTTTTTCATTTTGAACTCTTTTTACAAAACTAGCAAATCTTTTCAAAACATCATTCTTATGTTTTATCATCAAAACCCAAGTAAATCTTGAAAAATCATCCACTATCACAAAAGCATAATAATTTCCTCCATAACTAGCTATTTTAGAAGGGCCAAATAAGTCTATATGGAGTAGTTGAAGAGGTCTAGTAGTAGAAATCATATTTTTAGATTTGAAAGAAGACTTAGTTTGCTTACCCATTTGACAAGCGTCACAAATTTTATCTTTTTCAAATTTAAGTTGAGGGAGACCTCTCACTAATGAATTTTTTGAAATATTTGAAATCAAGTACATACTAGCATGTCCTAGTCTTCTATGCCATAGCCAAGAGTTATCAATCAAAACCGAAAGACATTTATCATTTGTAGGACAATCATTCAAATCAATAGTATACACATTATCGTCTCTATTTCCTACAAACAAAACTTTTCTATCACTAGCATTTTCAATTATGCAATTATTCTTATCAAATACAACTCTAAAACCTTTATCACATAATTGACTAATGCTAAGTAAGTCATGCTTTAAACCATCAACTAACAATACATTTTTAATGAGAGTACAAGAGTCATTACCTATAGTACCCTTACCAATTATTTTACCCTTCTTGTTATCACCAAAGGTTACTAAGCCACCATCCTTCTTGGAAAGATTGACAAACTTGGATGGATTACCCGTCATGTGTCTTGAGCAACCACTATCCAAGTACCACTTATTTTTCTTGGAGGCTTTCAAACAAACCTAAAAACAAAGATATTCAAAATTGACCTTTTGGTACCCATACTTGTTTGGGTCCTAGAAAGTTAGTATTCACAAATTTAGGAATCCATTTCATATTTGCATTCATATTAAAGACATTGTATTTAGATAAGTAACAAGAATAATCTTTATGTCCAAACTTACCACACGAGAAACAAACGACATTATGCAAGAATTTATTTCTTGGACTAAATTTGTGTATTCTATTTTTATTCGAAAAATTATTTTCTAAAACATTGTTAAACTTTGTATTTTGAGAAACTTTTCTTCCTAAATGAATATTTTGAGAATTTTTCAATTTAAAGCACTTAGGTCTAATATGACCTTCAACACCACAATAATGACATATAGGCACAAATCTAGATTTATCATACTTAGATACAAATTTACATGTGTTAGATTTAGGCAAGATAGGGGATGCTTTAACAAAGATTGTTTTAGAACTTGAAGGTGTAGAACATTCATCAATATAGCCTAATCCTCTTTTATCACCATATGACTTACCTCCTTCAAGTATTTTATCTAATTTTTGAGCACCTATTGTTAACATTTTAATAGATTCCTTAGCCCTACCAAGTTCTTGCAAATTATTTGATTCATTCTCTTTGAGCAATTTAATTAATTTATCTTTTTCACCACAATCATGCTCAAGAGTCTTGACTTTATCAATTAATGCATTTTTCTCATCACAATCAAATACATGCTTTTCACAAGGTACATCAATTTTAACAATATTATGATCCTTCTCCTTCAAGCAAGAAATTTCATTTAGCAAAGACTTATTTTCAATAATTGAAGTCTTATATTTCTTTTTAAGCACAACATACTTTGAACTAAGTTTTTCTAAATCAATTGTCATCTCATCAACAAGTTTAAATAATTCATGATAAGAAAGAGATTCAAGAGTTACCTCATCTTCTTGTTCATCTTCTTGTTCATCCTCTTTGTCACTATGAGCCATGAAGCAAAAATTTGCAACTTCTTCATCACTTCCACTTGCACTTTCATCACTATCATCCCAAGTAGCCTTCATTGCTTTCTTCTTGGATTTCTTAGATGATTTGAGGAGAGGACAATCCGTTCTTATATGACCCGGCTTTTTACATTCATAACATATTACCTCATCGTTTTTGCTCTTTTCACCTTTTGACTCTTTTTGATTTGTGAAATGTTTTTTTAATTGTTTCTTCCTTTTAATAAAATTTTTATACTTACGTGTGAAGTAGGCGACATCATCTTCATCAAGGACGTCCTCATCTTCAGAGTCAACTTTGATGGATTTTAGGGCTATACTTTTCTTCTTTTTGGATTCTTCTTCCATGTGCCCGTTCATGGTAATCTCATGTGTCATGAGAGAACCAATGAGTTCATCCAAAGGAAGCTTTGTGAGATCCTTTGCTTCTTGAATCGCCGTCACTTTTGCCTCCCAACTTTTAGGCAGAGACCTAAGAATTTTTCTTACATTTTCGGAGGTAGAATATACTTTTCCAAGATTTTTCAAAGCATTTAAAATATTAGTAAATCTAGTAAACATATCACCAATAGGTTCATTTTCCTCCATTTTAAATAGTTCATAATTATGAACTAACATGCTAATTTTTGTTTCTTTAACTTGATTGGTTCCCTCATGAGTTACTTCAAGAGTTTTCCAAATTTCATATGCCGAAGAACACATACATACTCTATTAAATTCATCATTACTTAAGGCACAATACAGACAATTGATAGCACTAGCATTCAAAGAACATTTTTTCATATCATGCTCATCAAATTCATTTTCTAATTTAGGCACCTCAATATTATTAACAATTTTTATTGGAATGTAAGGACCATTACTAACATTTAACCACAATTGATAATCAACGGATTGCAAATAAATTTTCATCCTAGCTTTCCAACATGTATAATTTGTTCCATCAAAATAAGGTGGCCTAGAAGTTGATTGTCCTTCACTAAAACCATTTTTAACACGTAGGTTTGCCATAAGCTCGAACAATAAAGTTTAGATAAAAAATCTATAGGAGCAACCTGCTCTGATACCAATTGTTGGATCGGTATGGCAACCCTAGAGGGGGGGTGAATAGGGTTTTAACGATAAAAGTGTTTAAACTTGATTAATTTTTCTAATGATAAAACTTTTTACAAATAAGTAGAAGATGATAATTACTAAAACAAAATAATTCAAGTCAAAACAATAATCAAGTAGAACATGCAATAAACATAATAATAATCTTGAAATTAAATAGGAAAGAGTTAGAGAAAATGACACCGTAGTTTTATAGTGGTTCGGTCAAACTCGACCTACTCCACTCCCCAAGCGCCTCTTGGGAATTTGAATAAAGAACTTTTCCGACTCTTTCCACGGATCAGAGCCAAACCGGTACACCGCTCTTTTTACGAGTTCAAGAGCAAACTCAATCCTTTCAACGACGCAGGATCAAACCGATACAAGTATTTGAGTTTGATAATAACACACCACAACTCTCTCAAAGAGTAGATTTACAATTTGGGATACTGACAACTATTTCCTCACAATATAATAATAATCCCTCTCAAGAATAAGATGAAAAGAAATAAACTTGTAAGCTTGGAGAGAGCAATAAACAATGGAGACTTTGAACAAATGAGGATTGAAGAATGTATGTAAGTTGTATATATTAAAAATGTGGGGAAGATGAGTTTATATAGAGGAGAAAAGTGGCAAAATGTAGGATTGAATATTGACCATTGGATTGTGTTAGGAATAATGGAAGGTGGAGATTAAAAGTAATTAAGTAAGAAAATTTTCTAAATTCATTTATTTCAAAATTTTAATATAATAGTAATATAATATAATAATAATAAAAAGTTATGTGAGTAACGGTAAAATGTAATTCAAAATTTATTATAAATATAATAATATAATAATAATAAAAATGATGTGAGTAACTACCAAAATTTTAAAATATAATAATATAATAATATAATATAGTAATAATAAAATTCGATGTGAGTAACGGTTATATTCAAATTTATATTTGTAAAAATAATTTTATTTAGAAATGTAATAATAAGAAAAACTCCACCATGTGTTACTCTTCCAATATTATAAATGTCATACTTTGATATATTTTGATTTGTCCATCATTTTGATTTTGTTGCCACATCATCACGTCGGGTATGTTGTCTCGACTCTAATTTCTTCGTTTTAGCTCTGATTTGAGTAATTGAAAAGTTGTTGTAATCGTTATTCCCGACCTTATACTGTGGACAGTTCAAAAAACTGAAAATAGTTAATAATTAAAAGTAGGTTTGTTATCATCAAAACATCAATAATTAATTCATTGAAATTAATTAATGTGAGATCAAGGGCCAATAAGCCAACACTTAGAGTTTATATTAGAGTTTATATGATGTATGTGTGCGTGGTGGAATTGAATTGTTATTGGTGTTAACGTAACTCTCCAGCTAACAAGATATAATTTATATATCAGCAGCAGTAGCCGCCACAGGAAAGCAAAAGCCGCCTTCTGTTTTAACTTAATCTCGTATAAACTCCATTGCTTTCCATTAGAAGATAGAAACAAACAGCCGTCGAAAGAACTAAAACTAATCACAGTCCACAAGTGGAAATGGTTATACATCCATTAGTTTTCATTCTATTTTGGTTGTCCGAACAAACTTTTCCGGAAAAACACAGCTAAAGATACTACTTACAATCCATTAGTGAACTAAATCATCAGAAAACTTGAACAAGAGAAGAGACACGCTTCTTGGATATTGATTAACCACTACGTATACACAAAATTCAATAGAAAAAAATCTGATTAGGCTGAGCAAGGCGTGGCCTCCCGTTATGATCATACCCAGAGAAAATTAGCTTACTCTCTTCCTCCTCCTCCATCCTCCACATAGAATCCCCACAATAATAGTCCCAAGGAGTAGGAGAAGTCAGGGCAGGGCAAGAAAAGTTGTTGCAGTCTTCTTCACTGTACACATCTTGATTCATAGTCAAGCTCTCATGATCCGATAGATCAATATCTTTCCATATATCATCCATGGAGAATCCATTTGGATCACCCAGTTCTTGATTCTCCACCATCTTCTTCTTTGTTGATGGTGATGAAGCTGAGATTTCAGACCCCCCTGAGTCGAAAAACTTCACTGGTCCAGTGTCTGCAGGAAATTCCACAGCTGGGTTGTTGGATGAATAAGAGGACGAGGAGGAGGAAGATGAAGACAAAGCCCTTCTTTTCTCCTGTGCCTTCTTCCTCATGTGGGTTCTCCAGTAGTTCTTGATTTCGTTATCCGTGCGGCCAGGCAATTTCCGAGCAATTTTAGACCATCTGAGATGCAACAAAGGAAGTTAGAGATGATGTGTAACAACCCAAGCCCACCGCTAGCAGATATTGTCCTCTTTGGGGTTTCCCTTCTAAGATTCCCCTCGAGGTTTTAAAACGCGTCTGCTAGGGAGAGGTTTCAATGAAAATCTATCTAGTTTTAGGGATAGACCTGTTTCCCCATTTGTTGTGAAGTTCAAGCACGAGTCGTTCTTCTTGAGCAGTCATCTTGCCTCTCTTGAGACCAGGATGAAGGTAATTAACCCATCTCAGCCTGCAACTTTTTCCTGTTCTGTTTAGTCCTACAACACAAATGCCAAATCCCAAATCCCAAATCCAAATGGGAAGTTAAAACAGAGCCTTTCACAAAAATAGCAAATCTTCAGTTTAGCCTACCTAGCAACTGTCTCCCGCCACCTTCAAACCTGAAACTTTAGCAATGAAATCCCATCTTCGATCGCCAAACAAGCCCACAAAGCATATCAGTTGGATGTCTTCTTGCTCTGTCCATGGACCCTTTCTGATTTCCTGTCCCTCAACCATTTTTTGTTCTTTTCTTCTCTCCCACCAACTCATGGAGATTTTGGGTGTATTCTACTAATATTTATAGCACCCAAATCTTAACCACTCAACTTTACTCTGAGATTAAATAACCAAGGAGATTGCATCCTGACCGTACATGTAATGTAATGTAATTGGGATAGAGCCTCCATGGTGGTGGGGTGGGGGTATTTAGTGATAAGCAACCTTATGCCTATGGTGTATGCCATTAGCGCCCAAAATAATCAAAGTAGGCGATTGATATGTGGATGTTGCTTTCAAAAACGCCTCCTTCAAACCCAAGGGTCGATGACCTCTTAGTTTTTTAAATCGTTTTCGAGAAAACCCACTATTGGATTAAAAAAACCCACGTTGAGATGTAGTGGAATTTGAAATAAGGTGGAGCCTGTGGGAGGCACTTGGCATATGCATTGGAAGTGTTCGACGAAATGCCCCAGAGAGTTCCAATGTGCAAAAAGTTTGAAGCTTGTTCTTCGTGGGATCCCTTTCCCTTTCCCTTTCCCTTTCTGAAAATGGCTGTCAAATCGTTTGTATTGAGAAAAGACATCATCGAAATTCCACCAACAACAGCATGGTTTTGTTCTGTGATTGCTGAATTAAGCTGCCCAAGAAGATGGCTCCACAATGATATCAGCCAAAGCCAATTGTTTGAAACAAAGACAGGACGAATAAGGACTACCGTTGGACATGAATAAAACTTCCACTTTCTATTGCTTTGCCATTGTTCACACGACACTTCCACTGCTCTTCATTATCGCTTCTATTTTGGTAAAGTTAAAAAAAAAAAAAAAAAAAAAAACATCCATTCAATGAGCTTAAAAGTAATTCCTTTCGTTGGTCAATTTTTTGTTTTTGATGGGTAACTTTTGAATTCTTATAACTTGTGCTTGAAACGTACGTTTATGATCTGTGCAAGTTAGCATGTTGTAAAAAATGTAGCCTGGATGAACAAACTTGCACGGTAAATCTAGATTTATCTGCTTGTGAAGGTCAAAAGAATTGAAATTACTATTCATATCAACAATGTCTACCTTTCTTTTCAATTACTAAATTATTAGAGAACTCCAAAATTAAGCGTGTTTAACTTAGAACAACCATATATTAGGTGACCTTCTAAATATTTTCCTCGAAACCATGTGGGTAAAGACATAACACGCCGAAAAGATTCGTATTGGTCTGTGGGGATAGTCTTTACTCTTAGGAACAACAAGTAGGTAACGTGGTTATGAGGCATGTGGGTAGAGACAAAACATGTCAAAAAGATTTGTATTGGTATGTGGAGATAGTTTTTACTCAACAGTTAGATAAGGGAATGTCTGAGTTATTGGTATTGAATTAGCTTAAGCCATGGGTTAGATAAGTCTCTTCAACTTTTTTTTCTTTGCTTTCATATATTTATTTTGATGGTATATTTTGTTTATAGGTTTTTGAGTGTTTTAAGAATTAAGAAAACATTAATCAAGTTATTGATTTTTTTCAAATAACAATATTAATAATAAAAAGGTATTTTAGAAAAGTAGCATTAAAGAAAAAGAAAAAAAAAATAGAGAAATGAATAAAAGCCACTAAAAATAAAGATTATTTTGGCCAAAAATCCTATCCACACATCCTTAGAAGCAGATATTTATTATTTTATCTCCATAATTTCACATCAATAAAATAACTCATAAATTATTTATAAAAAAAAAACAATAATAAACATAAATCATATATTATATAACAAAGAGCATAATTTAGCAAATTGAAAAGAAAAAAAAAGAAAAAGAATTTGGTGTCACCGGGGGTGTGTTTATCAAAACTCAGATACAGACAAATTAAGAAATAAATAAATAATCATGTGTTTTCTAAAATAATAATAATAATAAAAAAAAATAAATAAATAAATAAAGAATGTGTGGAGCATTTTGGTTTTGCATTTAAATATTTTATTGCCTTTTTGCCCACCCCTCCATTTCCTTCTCACTTTTTTTCTTTTCTTTTTTTAAGAGATAAATCACTGGTGACGTGGAACTCACCACTTTTAACCCCTTTTCTGTCTAATGTACTCCACCCACTTTCTAGATGAACTCCTTCGACTATAATCTTATAATATTTGTTGATCGAGGGCACGTGACGTCATATTTATATTTGCTTAACTTTTTTTTATTGCTTCAATCTGTCACGTGGCATGTGGCAAAACTTGTATGGGTAACTCTAATCTCTAAAATATATATTAAATTCATTTGATAACTAAAACTATGTTAGGAGATGAAGATTTACATTCTTTTTCTTTTTCTTTTTAAGTCTAAGATCGTGTGTCAGACTCAAAATTTGAACTTCAAACCTCTTAGTAGAACGTCCGACACACCTAAAATTTAATTTTTATAATTTTTAAAAAATAAAGTTAGTTTTAATGAAATTGATTGATTGTTATGTGAATATATTTTAAAATTTATAGACAATATATAATTTAATTTTTAAACATTTATAATAGAGTGTAAATACCTTCGTTTAAAAAAAAATTATTTAAAATTTATTGCCAGCCCAGCCCAATAATTCACTCGGCCCATTCCCCATCCCCTTCCCAACCCGTGGCCCACCCCACCTTTACCCTCCGCTCCGGCGCCGGCGCCCCTCCTCCTCCTCCTCCTCCTCCTCCTCCATCTTCTTCCCTTTCTCCTCTTGTTTCTTCTCTACCAGAAGCCTTCAAAACCCTCACCCCAACAGAGTAGCTTCCAGTGATAAATTTTAATTTTTTTTTAAAAAAAATTAAATCACGAGGTTAGTTCAAAAAAAACACAAAACAAAGTTGCAGACTTATAACATCGAGGTTGGTCCTCGCCTTCCTCGGTTCTCTAATTCTTATGATTGAGTCACCGAAAACAGGAGTGTAACTAGTAGTGAATTTCATTTTTTAAAGTTATTTTTAGTTATTTCATTCTCGTGATCACTCTCATTTCCGAGTTAATTTTAGTTCATTAATGTGCGAGTGTCACTTGACTATCACGACTAATTGGTGTTCGTGGATCTACAAACTAGAACCATGAACATGTTCTTGCGAGTGTTCTTATTCCGTTAATTAGTTGACTTGATAGAACATGAAATCTAATTTTCTTCATTTTTTTTTTTTATATACTGATTTATTATACAGTAAAACTCTAAATTTTCATTTTAATGTTGCAAGATATATGAAAGATTTATGAACACAAAATTAAATAATTTTATCGTACATGAAAATCTTAATACATAAAATTCTAATTCTAATGATTAAATAAACAAAAAACTTCAAAATTAAAAAACGCGATGATTACTTCTAAAAAAAAATAGCTTTGGAATAATTTTTTTTTACTCATAAATATTGAAATTAATTTCCGAAGTCACTTGCAAAAGAACGTGTGAAGCTTAATTACGAAGTAGTTTCAAATAATTTAATAAATAATATATATATATATATATATATATATAGTTTATAATGGCTGTATTTGGTAGCCACGCGCTTTGACACAGTGGTAAACAGAATCAGAATCAGAAACGTCGCAGCACTTTCCATCGCAGCGCTTTCCGGCTTCATTCATCCATCTCCGCCGCATCCACACCTTCAAGATTTTGCCGACATAGAATATATATATCATACATTTTGATCCAATTTCCATATCCACTCACTCATCTGATTTTGTTTCCATTTCATCTGATGAAGCGATTCAGAGTTCAATCTCAAATCGACGTAATGGGAGTCACCGATTGCTTGATTTCAAACCACGCCAACACGGCGGCGTTTTCCGGCCGAGTTTTTGTCTGCAAAACTTGTAATCGTGAATTTTCCTCGTTTCAAGCTCTTGGCGGCCACAGAGCTTCTCATCGGAAGCTCAAACCGTTTCTTTCCGGTGACGGTCTTCATAATATTGGTATTAAGACGAAGACTCATGAGTGCTCTGTCTGTGGACTTGAGTTTCCCCTAGGGCAGGCTCTCGGCGGCCATATGCGCCGCCACCGGAACTCTTCTCCGCCCGCCGATTGTCCACCGACGACTCAGCCTGTCTCCGATGAATCCGATTACGACATCGGCGTCGGAGGAATTTTTGGAGTGGATTTGAATCTGACGCCGTTGGAGAACGATCTTGTTCGGTTGCAGTTGATGGCTCCGCCGGTCGGTTGCTTGACATAATTTTTTTTTTTTTTTTTTTTTTTTTTTTTTTTTTTTTTTTTTTTTTTTTTTTTTTTTTTTTTTTTTTTTTTTTTTTTTTTTTTTGTGTAGAATATTTCATTTATTTATTGATACTATAAACATACAAAAAAATTGTTTCATCTTTCAAGAATCTTCCAAAAAATATGAAGAAATTGATGGCTGTTTGAAAGAATTGATTGAAATATATGAGAAAAGCGAAAATTATAACTCCAAAATATGAAAATCGATTAAGCAAATTGGAATAATTTTCATCGCGGAACGCCACGATCGCGCTACAAAAATCATTTACCGGAAATAAAATACCAGATCGGCGCTGAAGAACGAACCTGGTTGAAAAATCATACGGCGGTGCTTTGTTCTTGCATTGTCGTGATTTTGCGGCGAATTAGGGCTCCAATTCCACGGCGAAAAAAACGAGCGATCGATTTCAAGAAATGAAGTTAGCCTATAATAATCTATTGATTCAACCGATGGAGCAATCACGAAATCTCGGCGTTGCGGTGGTTGTGGCGGCAGGAGGTTCTTCTCCTCCAACTTCTGGCGGATTTTACGGCGGCGCTCTACCTCTTTCTGAAATAGCTTCTGCCATAGTTGGTCTTGGGCCTTGAAACGCATGTTCTTGAGATTTAGACTAAATCAATGTGTTTAAATTGAGTAGAAAATTACAGAGTTTCGTGTTCTTGAAAATCAAAATGGATTGAACCAAAGTCTTGAAGATGGGTATACAATCCCTTCAATTTCTTTAAATATAAGAACAACATCAATTTCAACCCCTAAATTTTGAAGTTATTATGATTAAGCTATCAAAATTATTTATATAATTACTAATTATTAATTTTTTTAATATTTTTTAATCCTAATTTTATATCGTTAAGATTAGTTCCATTCCAATCTTATATTAGTCCATTCATGTTATCTCTTATTTATTCGAGCACGAAACAAAACAATATTTAAAAAATAATTGTCGTGTAGTTTCTAGAAGCATTTTAGATGATTTAAAAAATTTAAAATATTTGTATTAATTTAATTAATTAATTTTTTTTTAGAAAACACTTAATAAATAGTCACATATATATTTTTTAAATATGTGAAATTATTTATCTTTGATTTAAAAAAAAAAATTGGGTATTATATATGTCTATATATATATATATATATATATATGTATGTATGTATGTATTTTGTCATTGTCATATATCTTTTGCTTTTTAATGATATTTAAATTAAAAAAAGTATATTAAGAAAAGAATTAAAAAAATTATACATCGTCAGGAAATAGAGTATTTTCTTCAACATAGTTTCCACTTTCTAGAACTGGAGTTTGCTCAATTACCCTATCAGTCCCCTCCCTCATGAAGCCATCATTTTTGTCGAAATTCGTCGCCGGAGTGGTAGCCTCGCCGGAAATCTACTGTTTCGCAACCTAGTAATCAACAGACGGTATGTTTTCCCTGTTCATGTTAATGGTAGAAAGAAGTTCAATTTTGTGTTTCTGCGTCTATTTCTAGGTTTTTCGCCTGCTCGAAAAATTGCACGATCGATGTTGTTTCGCTATTGTGTAAAAGGAGAATGATGTCTTCTTTTCTTGACATTTTCGGCGTTTATTAGAAGTATAAGTACAGTTCTTTTCTCATTAATTGGTGCAGTGAAGTGGTGAGCTCGAAGAAATTTGGAGATTGTTCGTTTAACGAGGAACCTATGTTTTTAGACTGAGTTTCTATGGAGGTTCATGCTTCTTCGCGTGGTACATGCTGTGTTGAGTGAATGAGACTATACTATTTCGGACTAGAGGAAGAATCAGAATGGTATGCTTTTAAGTTCTCGAAGTCTGAATTTCTATGTTTTTTTGCTTAAAACTGCTTGCGTCGGAGCTTGGAAGAATACTAGATTTGAGTAATGGCTAGGCGCTAAGAGTTTGACCAAGATCTCATGATATCATCTGATTGAATTTTTTTAAATGGAAACAGTTTCCCTCTTTTAATTTGTATATCGTTAGTGTTATACATATTCCTATACTTTAGGGTTTAATTCAGTATTGCGGTCTTGAATGATTTACTTTTGTCTTTCAAATTTTGAAGTAGGCTTTAGCGATCTTGATCTCCGGGATGTTTGATTGGCTTCCTCGTTTCATCGCTCTGATGATAAGTTTTACGATTGTAAAATGAACTCGATGTGTCTTGGACTTGAGACTAGCGCAATTTTTCTTATATACAAATTAGGAACATGAACTCTGTGTACCACCCTCAAAAGACCTTTTGAAAAAAAAAATTATATCATGGAGAACAGTGATATAAAACTCAAAAATGTGACAGTAAATAGTTTCTTGGCATTAATTCTTTTCTGATTTTTCTCTGAATAATCATATCTTAGTGGACCTATGATTTTGGAAATGACAGAAAGAATCCACTTGCTCTTACTATTTGTGATGTTCTGTCCAGAGCAAAGGTTTTTGGATGACTAAGGGTCCTGGGCATGAAAATGATGCAAATTCAACTTTTGACAGCCCATCATTACTAGACACTAAGCGGGCACATCACTGGTTTATAGATGGTTGTGAAACACAGGTTTTCCCCAACAAGAAACAAGCAATTCAAGCTTCGAATAGTAAAATGACCGGAGCGCTGTCAAATGTGAATGTTCTTCCTTGGGATCATCATGCTGCTAATTATCAGTCTGTTTCACATCAACTTATCGGTCGCCTACTTGGACCTGAATCAATAAGGTCCGCTGACTTCGATCTAACAAAAGCATCTTCTGTAATGTCTGATAATTTGGATCTCAGGAGAAAAGGTATTGAAGTTGAAGAGCAATATGGAGAGGATGCATCTGTTGGGTTGTCTGTTTCTCATGGTTTGGAGGACCCTGAAACATGTCTTAGCTACGGAGGAATTAGAAAAGTTAAAGTCAATCAGATTAAAGATAATATACATGATCTGCAACCATGTCTAAGAAGTAATTCTAATAGGGAAGATGGTGGTCAACTTACCATAGAAGGCTACTATAAGGATATCGAAACAGGTCTTGTGTCTGTGGGATCAGCCTATATTAAGGAGGATGACAGTTTCAATTTGATGAACCAAACCTCCAATGATGGGGATCGCCACATTAGGTTACTAGGTCATAATGGGAAGGTGGTCGACAATGCTATCTCCGTCGGTGATGATTATGGTAAGCGGGATGCAAATATAATCTCATTTGACGGATTTCCCAATGAGCAAGATATTATCTCCTTAGGCAGGTCTCTGGGTAGCCATGACTCAACATTCTATGAACCTTCATTCCAAGCAACTGAAGCTGATGGTGTCACAGAATTGGAATCATCTAGTTTTGATGTAGGTGTAAGCAGTACACAGATAGCTAAGCAAAAGCCTGATACGATGCCGAAGAGTAGACCAGAATACAAAATGAGGAAAGAAGCTCCAAACAGCTTTCCTTCAAATGTTAGAAGCTTGATATCAACTGGTATGCTCGATGGCGTTCCTGTTAAGTACGTTTCTGTAGCCAGAGAGGTAACTTTTTTTTCTTCACTTCATTTACACTCTAAGTTGTGCCTCACCGTGTGGCTGCTCATACGCTTCACCGATTTTATTAGGAGCTTCGTGGAATTATAAGGGGATCTGGCTATCTTTGTGGATGCCAATCTTGCAACTTTTCCAAGGTAAGTAAGTAATTAAAATTTTCCCCTCATGTCACAGTTCAAGATAAATCAGTCAGATCAGACCTAACACACTCTTTCTGTGTTTCCTTGGAAGATGCTTAATGCCTACGAGTTTGAGCGTCACGCTGGCTGCAAAACAAAACACCCAAATAATCATATATACTTTGAGAATGGGAAGACGATTTACCAAATAGTACAAGAATTAAGAAGCACCCCAGAGAGCTTGTTGTTTGATACAATTCAAACAATATTTGGTGCACCTATCAATCAGAAATCTTTTCGGATTTGGAAAGGTAAAGAATAAATTTTCTTTATCTATCTCTCTCACACACATCACCACCTACAACTGTGCTCTTCACTTGAATAATATGTTTTGCATTGATTTTTTCAGAATCATTTCAAGCAGCTACTCGTGAGCTTCAGCGCATATATGGTAAGGATGAACTTAACCTTTAGCATGCTAGACTTCATTGCAAGTTCTGTAAATGCAAGACAAGATTAGGTGGGTTCTGTGCAGAGAATCAAATTTTAGTTGCTAACTGATTCATGGTCTGTCCGATTTCATGGAAGCTGAAAATGATTGTTGTCAGGATGGTAGTTAAAATTCAAGGCAACCAAGTGTCAAGTACAGTGAACAATGGGGGTTAGAATTTAGATTTTGCACCGTACTTGGAGTGTTTGTGACCATTTTATTATGGAAACTGCATTCACGTTGTAAATCTCTTAGCATAAAAACCTTTCTATGCTTTCTGTAAACTGTGAAATTGTGTAGCTTTAGAGTGTATGTATTGGGGGTTTGACTTTTGAAGACGTGGAAATTTAAGCCTTTTTGTTCTTGTTGTTTGTTTCTACTTTTTGGCACATTCTTTAGTTGAAAGTTGAATAGATTTTGCTCGATTGTAAGATACAGACTTCATTTTCGATTTATCTGTCGTTCAGCTTCTCAGTTCTTATCTCTCTCGTTTCTATGTCGTCGGATGTCGACGTCACTCGCTTTGTTATTTCCTTGTTGGACTCTCTTATCAATTTTTATTTCTCCACCCGACCTCGTCTCTGTGTTTCTCGTTAAATGTCGTCATTGACTATCTCTCCGCTTGATGCTTCGTTCCATTTTTGTCAGACTTCTCTCTACACTCCGTTGTTATACAATCCAAACCCAACTTGAAAATAGAGGGTTGGAAATTTTTAGATTGGTCCAAAAAAGTCCCTCGACACACACCAAGCTTCTTTCAGTTTAGAGAAAGAGTAATAAGACGGAAATAATTAGTCATTTTGAAGTAAAAATAGTTGCTTATATACAAACCTTCTTATAGCAAACAAATAATTGGGGATAACATTGTTCCTCAAAAGCCAAAA